GTAATCTTATCCAATCTTGTTGAATGTCTAGTACTATAATTTTGAGTGAATTAGGTCGAGTAGTTTTCGCGATATGTCTGGGATTGGCCATAAGAGGAAAGGGGAAATTGCTTATGCATTTAACTGATTACAGAAATATGATACGATATATTACATTCACCAGGGCTTGAGGACGTAACAGCTCGGAGGGGGTGCAACATATCATCTGCCTCGTCATGGCACACACCCAATGATTCGCTTGATTATTTTTTTTCAGTTGTAGAAATATGTTCTGCGGTGCGCGTGCGTCTTTTTTATCCTTATATAGACATGGTAATCTGCTGACGTCATGATTGATTTGAACAATAGACAGTGACGTTTCTTGCAGCAGCGTTAATGACTCAGGTTCAATGGTAATTATAATACATGTCAATATATTAAAGAAAACCAATAGAATGGATATTGACATAAATCTCCAGTTACAATGAATGCGAAAGCTGAACAAATTTAACGACATTCAACTTACATTATAGTTCCTTACATGATGTGTATTAATGTGTTCAGTGTAGCTGTGTCACGTGACGGTATTATTTGTGGATATTTACATACAATCACCAAATTATGGACAATTACAATCAGTTTAATAAAATCGAGAAAGTTGAAGATTTCAAATCATGCTTTATTCAGACGATGTACCCGTGTTTGGTCGTTATCACAACCATTTTCAAATTTAACATTGCATTTAGGTGGGTTTTAACATATAGTCGAGACAATAAATACTAATTGAAATTACAACGACGGTAGTACGCTTGGAGGATTGGTTTTATACTGGAATGTTTGTACATTCCCAAAACGATCTCTTTGTCATTCCGTGAACATGGCAATCTTCGATCGCGAGGGATATAAAATGTAGAAATGCAATGCATGCAACTTGTATTTTTTTGCACATTTGTATACATTCCACATAATTACCAAAGAAGCTTTTTTAAATAATAACGCGTGGGGCTCGTTTCTGAAGTAACACACGGCGTTGACGAAGTAGCATGTCTAGGCACGTGATGGGAAGGAATGTGTACTCACTTGACATGATTTGCACGTGTCGAAATTGACAACTGATAACTTACAAGGCGGCTGACAAGAAATGGAAGGTGATACAGAAAACGTCTTCGTGCGGGTTTTGTTGGTTTATTCCATCACAAGTTGACAGCTGCATGTATATGGAATTAACCCATCTACTCCAGTCACCTCTTTATCCCATTTATTTAATTACGTTGAATCTTAAAAGCATACATGTCTGTGACCAACACAAACTGATGACTTATTACGAGCATAAAGAACCATGTCAACAGGCATCAAGAGTGCATATATATTTAATGGCCTGTACCTACCCAGTATATACATCTTGTTTAAATAAGCTAGGAAACATAGCATTTTAAATATAAATTCATTAATAAAGTACCCTTTAATGAAAATATAACGAACTGACAATGATTCGGAGCAATGGCGTGTATATTTCATGTGTCACTCCGTGTGTTAGAGACGCGTTATTACGTACGTAGGGAACGGTTAGTTTCATCTTGAGGCTAAAAACAAGAGCGCTATCATTTCTCGGTTGAAAGTGAGTCTATCATGATGATCAAACTACACGGGCAAGGGTTTTGGGAAATCGCATTTTGTCAAAGTCAAAAAAAATACTGCAAGATCTACCAACGCAAATACTAGAGCCAGAGAACGCGACATTTCACAGATTGCCTAACACAATTTGATCATAGATGTTATTGCTCCCAAATACAAAAATCTGCTGCTTTCTGCGCTGAATGATAAATGATAGTCAATCCAAACAAATAAAAAAAGTATTAGAGCACGGACTGTGTGTACATAACACAGCAATTTCATTATAAGATTAATTTTAAAAAAATCCATCTACGTGATTCTACGTAATATAGCGTTATTGTATATTGTATTATCAATGTTAGTTTCACAGCGTGTGTTCTCTTTTAATATCACTTATGAAATAGATTTCCGCTGTATTTCTTGGGTTTACTCTTAGAAACGTATTCGTTGCACGTTTCTTTGTGGCGAAATTAAAGTTTACCCAATTCCACCCATAACTTGTACGTGTCTGGAATGTGTAATTTGGTTTCTGCGTACGTAACGTTATACTTACTGGTGTTCGTATTATTGTAATTGTACAGTAAATAATGTAGCATTTCTGTCCTATAGTTACGCTTTCTTCATTGACGTCTGTGCTGAATTTGTCATTCTTTATCTAAATCACAACTGAAGACGCTGACATCTGAAATATATTTACCGAATCAATATTTTGCAGGACATTTTCAACCGTGTAAAATATAATATAATATCCCCGGTATAAAAGGGTTTACTTTCCGAGTCCACAATAGTAACGGTAACATTTAAATACATAGACAGACTAGCTGCGAGCTACGAAAATAAACGACACATCTTTCCGCGTAAACCTGGTGAGATGAAAGGATTAGATCACATTGGCCATGGCTGTTGCTATGGAGATGTGTTTTTTTTCGAATGATGACGTGGGGCGCATATCGTCACCAGCGACCCCCGGGTTAATGGTATTGTTATCGAGGGATGGTGAGGATGATTTACCCGAGCACTTCAATGTTCATAGCAAATCGAGAAAGTTTGTGTCTTGATGAATCAAGTAACCGTGAATGTAACGCCCGATAACTTTTCCCTCTCCTGTTTTAATTCAAACATAAAATCACAATAAGTCACGTTCCTATTCATATTGTGTTTTAATTCATCATTTGGAATATATATATATATATATATATAAGTAAGTATATCATATTAAAAGTACATATTAAAGAAAATGTATATTGATGATAATCACAATGTGTTACTTTACACTTTTAAACGATTTTAATATCTGTAAAATTGTCAATAAAACATCATATTCAAAGTTTTTTCGTCGATCGTATTTCTTTCTTGCAACAACCGGAAATCAAAATTTCTTTTTCTCAATTCATAACTTGTGTTAAAGCAGCAAATCAACATTTCCTTTTCTATTTGTTTGTTCAAACAGCAGTCACGTGAGTAATAAAATGTTCTTTTATCATTATTTGATGTCCTAACATGTAATAAATTGTAACTAGATACAGTAACAAAATCTGGGTTTCTGTCTTGATTGGCAATTAACGAACAACACGGATACCATTGGTGGTGGTTTGTCTCGTACGGGTGTGTTGGAATTATGTGTAAATAAACGCTATATTTGACAAAATGCGTAAACGTTACTATGCATAGTATGGACCACGTTCGGGCGCGCGGGTTAGCGAAGATTCGTGAAGGTCTTGGATATTTAACTGAATATGTGAAAACGCATTTGTAGGGTTCCTCTTGAAACGTGTTAATCGTTATTTCCTGTCTCCGACAAGAACAATGTTACGGTGCTTGAGGATGGGGGGAGGGTATGATTGCGAGACAATACATTGAGTGATAACATATGATTTTTGTATTACGTTAAACTTTTTAATGTGAATAGTCGTCTTATTTCTGTCATTCGTTTTTAGAAATATCTCGGCGGCCATCTACGTTCAAAGCCTATTGTCAACATCTCCTGTACCAATATGAAATGTGTAGAGGTACTACTAGATTTTAATTTAGTGTAGTAGACAGGTTAGCGAATGCGGGATCTACAGAATTCATATAATTTCGTCCAGATTTGTTATTCTTCACTTAGACATTTTAAAATTTAATCAAAGACAGGTATAATATAGTTAAGATGAATATTTACAAATCCATTCACAATCACCGGCAAATACTGCAGATCGAACTATTTAATTAATCTTATTCTAGAGCGAGACGCTTTGCCGTGATCGTGAGATCGAATCCCATGTTGAACCGTGTTGCGTGCTTGTAGCATGCCTTGTAATTAACATTTACTTGGATTCCAAATCTCGGCCTTTGTCGGTGGATGTATCGTTATTTAAAGCATTCGACGAGATATAACAAGGATGGCTTGCTTGATGGGAGTTTGTCGATATAGTTTACGACACAACAAAGAATTGTTACGTGCTCAGAATAAACCGATAATGCGATAACATGTATATACTCGCCAGTGAACACGTTGCGACAAAAGTTGCTCAGGTGTGCAAGGAACGCGAACATGTTCTGAGGACTAACGAGCATCTTATTACTAACAAACACTTCCCTGAAAGAATTCCGGGGACATAACCACAACACTGCGATACAGACTCCGTTTTCTATGACTGCGAAAGTCTTCCGCATGAAAATAGATTATTTTGACCAAGTAAAATCATATTTATTAAAGTTATTGTACATGCATGGGTTGTTGAACATATTACATAATTTGTAATTTCAAACCAGCTTCTTTTAATCATAATTCGAGGCAAATAAAATGCAAATATTAAACAATATAGAGAATATAGCGAATAATCCTTTTCAGTGATATTCTTGTGTAAATCGGAAAACGATAAATTCCACAATAATATACAGATGCCATTCTCTAACAGATTTTACATTATCTTTTTACAATAATTGCACGCCATATGCTTAAGATATCACACATATAAAAAACAAGCTTATTGGCAAAGATAAATTCAAAACACATCTGAAGAATCCAGAATATTATGATAAAAACGACATGAATTTGGTTGGTGCCGACCTCAAATGAAAAACATTTGGGTGAATTCTAAATGTAATAGAAATCAATTACTAAATTGGGATTTAATTGTTCTCACACGTTCAAGAAACGAGCAAACTAAAACACAATTATGAATAATCAGTGCTGTTTATTTTATAGTTCATATATGTCTGTCTCTGTCCAAATGCAGTGCGACCAGCAACAGAAGTATCGCATCGTTTGAGCATTTGCATAACTATTAAAAAAATAATAGTTTCCGTCGTATACAATATGATATCTCGAATTCCCGTTACAGGGACATTTCAACCACTATAGACACACAATGCAATTATATTTGTTCACTAATGTGTTGATTGCTATTTTTTTCTTCTTACAGGCAGGATGAGCTTTACATTGTATGGCACAGGTTGCGCCAAGATGAACCCGAGTTGCTGCAGCCGTTTGAATCATTTCTTAGAAAAGCGGTCATGGAAATCCGACATTTACACAGGGAGTGCGACGATGCTATTAAAAGGTGAGCTTAACATCCCAAGCTGAAGCACACAATTGGAAGATATTCATATACTGTATATCAACCGTTACTATGAACCAGATTACTTGTATCTATGTGCGCTAGAATATCTGTTTAGTTATTCCAAACCGAGTTAATTGTTTCGATTATCCAAACATCTGTGTTGTTTTCATCTCATTTCAAATCACTGCCTACTCAACGTTCAACCCGATTTATGAGGCTGGTGTGATGTCGCGGTTTATATCAACTTGAACGAACCGTAGACTTGCGTAGACGTAGTTTTGCTGAGGCCTATTGGAACTAACATAAAAAGCGACAATAAACATGAATATAAAAACTCGCTGTTTAATATTTCTACCTATATGGAATATTTATATGCTAATATAGCCCAAGATTGGCATATTAATATTCACACCTGTTTTACCTATGATCGAACTTTCGCTCGTGTAGACATTTGCAGGCACTGATTTGGAAAATAGATTAATACCTATTCAAGTATTCAAGAGGTAATCCAGTATTAGATTTAATATATTCAAATGTCTAAAACACAAAAACATATGCACGTGATTTGATTTAATAGTACGTACCATTAAATATAATACACATCCGCATGTGAGTAGCTGTTAGTAGAATTTTATTATACGAATAATAGTGTAATTTGTTATCCGTTTCAAATAATATATATAATTAGCGTCAGTAAGTTTGCACCTTCCGACGTGACAATGATGCCAAGTGCTCTGTCGTGCACACTAAAGTTGGCATGCCTAACCAGGAATCAACACAAAATTGACGAGGAGCAAGGAAATTGCATGCATACACAATGCATTATAATGATCGGGATACATTGAGCACACTATCTTCAAGTTCCCCTATACATATACGTAATAATGCGTCTCCAGTTTGCGGGCACTTGAAATACACACTCTCGCCTCGACTCATTAACGAGTTCATAACATTTTCATTATACGGTTACATATCTGTTTGCAATTTACTTAAATTATTATGATATGTTGTTTTGGAAAATATTTATAACTTATATAATTTTACGAATGTCGTTTTAATGTCTAGTAAGAGTGGTGTCCATCAACAGGAGGTGAAATCTTTGTATGAGGAAATGGAAACACATCTAGCTAGGGAGAGAGAAGTGATTAGACGGAAGGTAAGTAAAAAATTACTATAGCTACTAATTACGGCATTTGCAAAACATGACACTTTGAGCTCATGGAAATGTTTCTTTCTAAGAGAGATAAAACGAAATGGCAAAGTCTGCAAGAAATTGAGAGTAAGTAACTCGGTTATCTTTGACATTAAGGTGTTTCTCTTATGTACTTCAGTGTGAAGAAGAACTTCAAGACGAATTAGAAAGGCGTCTAGAAAATAAAGATCAAGAAGTTCAAATACTCGTTCAAAGAAAAAAAGAGGTAATGAAGTTATATGTTTCAATTACCATAGAAACAGTCTTTTGATGGTATTTCTTGTATGTTTTTTAACAATACACGTACGCTATGGATATTTTCTTGTGTGAAATTGACACCTTACAAAGCTATAGTATAACTGCATGCATATCGTCACGTGTAATTCAAATGCGACTGCTCTTCGACCTGTATATGTTTAAACAATTATATTCAGTACGTCAATGTGGATGTTTTGGCAAAGTGTCTTAACAAATAGTTGGAAAACCTTGGTTGGATTGATTCCTGTCGCATAAGGTGAATTGAAATAGTGCTTTCACTGAGATGCAGGCGAATTTTACTAGGGAATATAAAAAAAATATAAAAAAACGTGTTTCATTATCGTGAATGTCGTGTCTTGATCCTTACGCCATCATACGCCCTGTATATCCACGCGATGCTTCAAGTCTGCGTTATTTAGTTAGCTCACATTTTAATATGATAGTGTAAAACACCCATAAACAACAACTAACTTTTATGAAATACTTTTCTGCAGCTGGAACTATCACTTACAAACTTGGACAAAAAAGAAAGAGATAGGAAAGTTCAAAACGGTCAGGTAAGATATCTTCTTAGATGTAGTTACATTTCCAATAGAATTACAATCCCACTTCTTACTGTCATTCATACATTTGCTTAAAGATTACAAACTGAATGAATGGGAACATGAACATCTGAGTATTTGTTTGATGAAATTATCTAATATGCATTTACATTAGTCGTACAATTACAATTACTGCGCATGCGCATTAGATTTTTCATCGAACAGTGTGTCCTGTAACCATAACAGTTTTAGTTTGTGATAAATCATAATACGATTTAGTACACTATGGAATGTCGAATAACGATATTAAAAATATATATACATTCGAAAAAAATCAGTAAAAACAACCTACTTTTTGTGTTATATTATATTAATTGTACCCTAGTTTTAAGAGTGGGGAATTGGGTTAGTTTGACATTAGTCAGTATACATGGATCATGAAAAGTAATTATTTTTGACTGGACTTATTCTATAACAAATCGCGATCTTCGCATCAATAATGGAAATACTTATGCAGAGATTATCGGGATACAAAAAAAATAAATCCCGAGAAATGGAATAAGCTTTAAATCTGCCTCGTGAAGCAGAATAAGACTAGACTGAAGAAATTAGTTCTATTGTACATGATCTCGCGATTTACAAACGCCATTTTATGATCTTCCTTCGTATGAAGAAACTTGTGATGAGCGATGAAGTAATTACCCCTTTGACATAGATTTGTCACTGTTAATGTGGTTGCTATAATTACATATGGCATATGCCATTAGTGACTGGAGACATGAGGAAGTATAATATTAACAAGAAATGTTGGTTATGTTATATTATATAATATAATAATACATAATAAAACTGTTGTTTGCGATTTTATACACACATATAAAATAAATATATTTTCCACCTTGCGAACAACATAGAAACATAGCTTTAAAATGCTCGAAATCGGCAAATGATACTATTTCTGTTTTCGTGGTCTCAATTGCGTGGATAGATGTTTGGGTATCTGCAGGCAATATCATATTTCACTTCATAACGCCATGGAAAAAATGATCTGCCAACGTGGTCTGAACCCATATATCTTTATTAAAACGAAATATTCCAGTTATGTCGTCCTCTCTTTATGTTTTTTAAGCAACACATGGCCGTGGCAAATGCAATACCACATGATCAGTTTTCATCAATGTCATTTCAAAACGAGACCCCGCCATGTTATTGTCCTTGAATTATGGCTGTCGTCTGAAAGAGTGAATCATATGACATCACTCTTGTCAGCTCAGGCTCTCTCGTCAAATAACCATCAATAAAATAACTTCTGAACTAATTAGTTTTTCACAATTGACTTCTATCCTTATTTATGGATGCCGAAGACGTCCATTAATTACGGTCACTGGGTGCGTAACAATCCAGAGCCGACATACAGACACATATTCATTGTTTGGCTTGACTATGGCGGCAACATGTTTTTACACGATTAATTGCATGAGGGTCCAATATAAAGATACCTTGCACTTTACTAAATTACTAAAGAACTCAAAACAAGAAAGATATAACAAAAAATAACATAAACACAGGGTTTTGTAAAAAAAAAATATATCAGCAAAGACCGACATAAAATGTTATGCGAAAAACACAGATACGAGTTACAATATAACAACTACATGGATTACATTATATTACATTGTTTTACACTACACTTCACTATGTAATTACATTGTATTACTTTAGTTCACGCTACACTACATTACATTACAGTTAGAGCAGATGGTACTAGAACTGAGTAGACATGAGTCAGGCATTGTTGCCGAAAACGAGATGTTAGCCAAGGTAAGTTTGTTAAGATCAAACTCCAGTCCGGCATCTCCTGCAGTATTACTGTATTTCCCACTTTCTCGTTCCAAATGCTGCACTCGATGCTTGTATCACGTGACTACTTTAGTGCAGTGCCAGGTTGATTCATGTGTAGATCACGT